CCTCATCAAATTTCTCACTGATTTAATTGGTTTCACTGAAGAAATAAGAAATAAGAATCAATAACTGATTCTCATTCATCTACATGACTTAAAATGTATCTTTTTTTTTTTTAATTGGGGAACAGTGTTTTTCCAGGACTCATCAGCTCCAAGTCAAGTAAATTGTTTCAATCTAGTTGTAGACCGGGTGCCACAAAATGTATCACTTTTTACTAACACATTCAGAATATTTTACTCAGTGAAGTTGTAAGTGTTATAACTCTACAATTGTCAAGCTCCATCGTCAGAACCCAGGAAGCAGAGAGCAGTCTGATCACTCCCTGACCTCTTCCTAGAGTCTGCTGCTTTACTTAACTCTGTTTATATTGGTTTTATATTATCCTTGCTAATTAAATTCAATTAGAAAGTCTTCTAATCATATAAAAAAGCAAGGCACAAACAGGTTTTAGACTTTGATCTTTTAAGGGACATCCAAATGATTTAGAATGTATATTTAAAACTATAACATAGAAAAGTTCCGTGACTCAGATCAAAGGCAAAAGCTAAAACACGAAATCTGAAAAGCTATCTGATCAGAGAGGAGAGATGTATGTGACCCAGTGATACAGTTTGAGTTTTAACTTTTTCCAGCTATACAAAAAGTCCAGGCTATTCTGTACTATGCAATTATTTTCAAACACCCAGAAACTTTCAAAAAAGCAAACTGTTCTAGAAATTAGTTTATGTATTCGTTGCTAAGTTCACAGCACTTAAAACTCCTCAGTGAAGGAAAATATTTCCTTAGGTTTTGATTTAAAAGAACCGGGGCTGCCCTACCCCTCCTCAGAAGTCCTAATCCCCAGAAGCTGTGAATATGTTGCCATACATGGCAGAAGCGATTTTGCAGGTGTGATTAAATTAAGGATTTTGAGCCGGGAAGGTTATACTGGATTACCTGGCTGGGCCCAATGCAATCACAAGAGACCTTATAAGTGAAAGAGGGAGATGGGAAAGTCAGAGGAGATGGGATGATAGAAGCAGAGGTCAGGGTGATGCAATCAATGGCTGGCTTTGAAGATGAAGGGGCTCGAAGCTCAGGAATGTGGGCAGTGTCTAGAAGCAGGAAGAGTCAAGGAATTAATTCTCCATGAGAGCTTCCAGAAGGAACCCAGCTCTGCTGACACCTGACTGCAGCCACATCAGACCCACTTCAGACCTCTGACCGCCAGAACTGTAAGAAAGTTTCTGTTGTTTTAAGTGACTAAGTTTGTGGTAATTTGTTATAGCAGCAATAGGAAACTAATACCGGAACATTTCATTAATCTCTTAGTACTTTTAATATCCTGTTAAATGAGAATTTCAGTATTTGAATAATTATATCTCATATTATCATGTTTGTGTTTTTAAAACATGCACTCTCTTTCTCTGGTTGCTAATACCTATCACTAAAATATACTTGCTATTTAACTTGGAGTAGATAACATATTCCAAGATTAAAACCTGGGGACTAATACTCTACAATGAGGAATATCCACTCTAGCACGGCCAGACAAATTCAGTGGACGTGACACATGCACTTAAATTTAAGTATGTGGTGATAGCTACCTATCAAATCCCAAGAAATAAAATAACTCCAGTAGCCCAACCATTCTGGCTCTTAAACAAGTTGAAATTTGATTCAGAAAATAGAATCTGACCTCAGGAGGCAAAAATGGCAGAGTTAACAAGGCTACTTTGATGTGACCTTTTTAGCAGTTGTTAAAAACAACAAATTAGGAGAGAGCTGAGCTTGATTAATCATGAAAAATGGTTTTCAATATAGATCTGTAGATATAAACAAACATATGTGTATATTGTTTGTATATATGTATATGTAACTGTGTATACACACATATTCTGTCCACTGAGAGGATCTGGGAGGGGCAACAACAGTCCAGCAGCCATGTGCACACCTAGCGCCCATTCTCCAGGGCTCCTTGGAGGAATGGCTGATCCTGGGCTGCTGCAGAAAGTACAACGTGAGCCTGGAATGTCTTGGTGTGCCAGAAAGCAAGGAAGTGCTCAAAGAATGATGGAGGCATGTCGAAAGACACAGGAGCTTAGCTTGAAGGGGTTCCAATGGGAAAATCTGAGAACACTTTGAACACCTAAATAAGGATACTAACTCATTGACTAAAATAGGAAACTATGAGCTCATGTAGATATAAACAAACTGCAAGTTTTATGAGGAATGTGATCAAGCAACTATTTAATTACAAAGAGAAGAAGACTAACTTTACAGTGGAGACGCTTGGAAGGTACCATCTAAATCAAGAGATCCAAGTAAACATTATCAGTAATGGGACAAATAGGAATTATGTGCCACCTGATAAGATGCAACAAGAACACAGCATCATTAATATAATATTGAATGCCAACTGTTACTGAAAAAAAATTCCTTTTGAAGAACACAGCATCACTTCTATGATATATTCCTGTCAAAAATGCATAACCCTAAGTCTAATCATGAGGAAACAGCAGACAAACCTAAATTAAGGGACACTCTACAAAATAAGTGGCCTGGAATTTTCAAAAGTGTCCAGGTCATAAAAGTTGTAAAAACACTGAGAAACTATTTCAGACGGCAGGAAACTAAAGAGACATGATAACTAAATACAACAACTCATGATGCAGAACTGGATCCTTCTGCCATAAAGGATCCAGAGACAAATTGACAAAATTTGATTGCGGTACGAGGGTAAGACAGTATTAATGTATCATTGTGAATACCCTTATTTTGATGGTTACATTTTGGTTATGTAGAAGAATGTCTTTGTAGGAAAGGCACACTGAAGTATTTGAGGATGTGAGATATTATATAGGTAACTAATTCTCAAGTGGTTCAGGAGAAAAAAGGTTTGCTAGTTAGCAAATTTTCTGTAGGTTTGTGATTTAAAATTAAATTATTTTAAAAAATTTTGTCAGGGCCGGCCAAGTGGCTCAGTTGGTTAAGAGCTTGCTCAAGAGTGCAAGCTCTGGGACAGCCGAGTGGCGTGTTGGTTAACAGCTGGCTTGGGATGTCAGCTCTGAGCAGCAGGGGCCCCGTTCGGATCTCACATGGGGGCCAGTGACACTGCCCTCCACAGCTAAGATGGTGAACAACAGCTCGACCTGGAGCTGGGCTGCCGTCAGTCGCTGGCGATGGGCATAGGCTGCAGCCCCTGCTGCAGTGGGCTGCCATAAGCTACCATGTGTGTCTGGCAGCCAGTGTGAGTGGCTGGCAGCCGGTGTGAGCTGCCAAGAGCCGGCCGTCCAGAGGCCAGCGACTGATCTGCCTCACCCGGGAAGAGCGCAATGATAATACCAACATGGGCCAGTGAAGCAACGTCCTCCACAGCTAGACTGAAGAACAAAAGGACAGCAACTTGTCTGTTCCCCTTCCCCAATTCCCCAGTGCTGTTCCCCTCCCCCAATTCCCCAACAAAATCTTTTAAAAAAAAGGAGTGCGAGCTCTGAGCAACAGGGTTCCCCGTTTGGTTGCTGCTGAGCTGCCAACAGGTGGCAGGATGGCTCAGCTAAAAAAAAAAAAAAAAAAATTTGTCACCTATTCAATGAGATCTTTACTAGCTACTCTAAAATATTTATCCCAATGATACTTCATATTCCCTTTCCTGCTTTATTTTTTTTCCTTTGGCACATATATTTGATTTATTTATCTAGTTTTTTCTTCTTTCACCCAGGAGTATCTATGAAGGAAGGAATGTTTGTTTTATTCACCGCTGTGTTCCTCAGTGCTTAGAACATTGTCTGGAGCATAAGTGCTCATAAATATTTAATGAATAAATGCATGGCTAAGTCAATTAAATAAGTAAATGTTTTAAGAAAGCTAATAACCATTACAAAGACAATTGAAGCAAAACTGTTACTCTCATCATCAATGACAGCTTGTTAAAGTCCTTCTGGAAAACAATTTGACAATTAAGAGTCATAAAAATATTAATATCCTTTAACCCAGAAATTCCACTTCTGGGAATTTATTCTAAGGAACTCTCCTAAAACATGGGAAAGCATTCAGTGTCAAGCTGTTCACTGCAGTGTTATTTATCCTGAAAAGAAAGAGGAGAATATACAAAACAATATTGGATAAATTATGCTATATCCGCAGACTGAAATTTCCTTTGAAATTCCATTTGTTGTGAAATCCCATTTCATTTGAAATTCTAATAATGTGGGAGAATGCTTTTTTATGTACTATTACATAAAGGAAAACAAATAAACAGAATATGTATAGCATGATTTTAACAAAATAAAAATATGCACTGTAATAAGCAATTAATATATTGTGGCAATTTTTATTTGCTCTATTTTCCAAATTTGTGGTACTATGGCTATAAATGATATTCTTAAAATACATTTATAATAAAAATATATTTATTTTACAAACACATCATGTATAAAATTAGCCAGATGTAGAAAAGTATTGACTCTATGAAAGAAAGTAAAAAAAAAAATGTTTAAGCCTGTTTGAATAAAGTTAATAGAAGACAGTGGTTTACATGGAATCAAAAGAAGCATTTGGCAGTATTAGTCTAGTACTGCTGACACAAGACAAACTAAATACAACAAATACTAAAACCACTAAAAAGGTATGTACCCTACTGTGGATCAGGGTAGGGTCATGATGCTTGCCAGGCCAATAAAATATCCCTCAAGACCATCTAGAACCCTCTGTTCTGATTCCATGCTCACCAGAGAGCCTTCTGATAGTAACTTGGCCTCCCTGTTACCTTTTTCTAGGAAGGAGATATCTTAGACCTCCACGTAGCCACATAAGTAGTCAAAAGGTAGCTAATCCGAATTGAGACATGCTGTTAAGTGCAAAACCCACCCCAGATTTTGAAGACTTGGTGTGAGAGAGAAAAAAAAAAAGTAAAATATCTCAGTAATAATTTTGTATTGATCACATGTTGAAATTACAACATTTTGGATATATTAGGTTAAATACAAAATATTATTGAAATTGTTTCTTTTCACTTTCTTCAATGTGGCTACTAAAAAATTTTAAATTACTTCTGTGGCTCACACTGATGGACAGTATTATATTTCTATCAGGGAGCACTCATCTACAATATTGAACAAGAATACTGCAGTCAGTGTAAATATACAATAACCAATAAATCGATATAACTGGCTTAGACAGGCACAAGTCTGTCCCACAGAAACTGATCAACCTTGCATTGACAAAATCAAGTTCTGCTAAACAGATCAGACCTTCACTGAAGTGTGCAAATCAAGGTTCTGGCATCCTTCGAGCTTCCTGGGCACAAGCTGTCAGCTCAGTCATTTCTCTGCCTTCCGTTATTTCTCTCTTGGCTCATAATCCCATGTTTAGATTGTGTTCTTCATGGAAGAGGGTTGAGTATTATCCAGTTTTGTTTTCCTAGCACTTACATGCCTTAAACAAAGGTATTTAAAAGTCTGTTAAATGAACATTCTTCCACAGTTTATGACTTTGTTCATAGCTATAGGCCTCCTTACCTTGAAAAAGATTTGTACATAACCTCTCCATGGGTTTCTTCTTCATCTGTTAATTGCAAACGACTTGTAAAGACTGAACACAGAAAAACCTGTAAGAAAGTAATTTAAAGTAATGTGAACTAAAAATAATGAAAAATATCTAATATGAAGTGAAAACTCATAACAGGGCACTGTATTTTATTATGAAGGACAGAGCCTTAGACACAGAACACAGAATTGATATTTCATCACTATGCAATGGCCTACATTACGTAACTTCTTCTTTGTCCCTGAAATCCAACAGCAACCTCAAGGCTGATAAAGAATAGTGGTGGAAGGAAAAAATGGATGACACACACAAAAAAGGAGGTTTATCATGGAATCAGTATAATGCTTTGGCCTCGTAACACAGACCAGATGGCAATAACCCCTTTCTCAGCAAGCAGCTCCTCAACGTCCCATGGGCTGTAAAAAGCAAATTCACTATCAACTTCCCCTGCTAATAATTATTTTTGAAGACTGGCAGCATCAAAATAAAGACACATAATGTAAGGATCTCGGCCCGGACCCTAGGCCAGACAGACTCAGCCGGACAGACTCACTTTTAAAAATCATACTTCAGCTACTCCAGCTAGACTCTAAGCAGAACTTCCCATTAAGACAATAAAACGCCTAGCTTTACAAGAAATGGGTTGCAACAGCAATATTAAGAATGTTTTGCAGAAGTAGTTTTGTCACAACTGGCTTAGACCATTTCAC